CCCCAAAACCCCAAAACCCCAAAACCCCAAAACCCCTCTATTTAAAAAGAAGATTGAAATCTTAACAATAAATTATAGGTATACATATCAGTAAACGTACCGTTTCTAGAACTTTGCGATGGTCCTTTATGAGCTGTAGCTGAAAACTACAATGAATCTTTAGACAAAAATGGCGTATACTTGGGAGAAGAACAAGAGCTGACTTGAGGCAAACAAGAATAAAATATCTCTCCAGTAGAGCTTGATGACATAGTAGATAAACCTAACTCTTGAATCTCGACCTTCCCTAGAGAGCCATATTAGCAAAACAAGGAATGTTGCTATAAACCTAGACAGAAGGAGTTTTATACTGCTTCTTGCTTTAAAACTAAAGAAAGTTAATATGAAACACTTAATTTTCATAAAATTTCTAATTGTACAAGAATTTTACTCCAGTTGTAGCCAGAGAAGATGGAAACCCTCAAAGCTGTAGGAAAATGCAAAATGGGTCAAAAGAAACCATCCACAATGATTCTTAGGGTTATGAAATCTGTGTCACAAGAGAGGCTCAGGATTTAAAGTCTTGTTAAATTGGTAAATTACTCTATTATACTCTATTGGTAAGAATTTAGCAAAATGCTTTCTTCATGAGTTCAGAATCTGCCTTATGCATTACCAAAGATGTTTGACATCAACCTCTTTCGAAGACAACTGTGTTAAACTCTGAGTTCTTTTTACCTATTTTGACAAAGAAAACTAGAAATGGGGTCCCAGAATATGCTAGAAGTAAAGATGCTAACTTAACCACAATCCTGTCTTATGTTTATTTACTGATCTGCATCTGCTTACAAAGCTTCATAACTGTGGGATCTACCAGAATATAAATAGATGGATCCATGAACCATCTCAAAAGTTTCTTAATAAATTATCGTCTAGGAATATAACAGCATGACTGAAAAAAGGCATGGAAATTGATAGTCGAGCTTTGGATGATTTATATCGCAGTGTTTTAAAACAATCCCAGTTTTGAGCGAAAGCTAAGTCTCAAATTCTTTTTGAAAATTTGTCAGAAAGAATGTTTCAACATATTCAAAAGAAAATCCCTCTCCAATTATACAAAATTTCCAGGAGTAATAGTGGATGTTTTGTCAGAACTCAGTTTTTTTAATTAATGGTTGGTCTAAGGAAATCTCAAAATCTGTCTTAAAGAAGGCAACCAAATTGGTTGAATAATTTCAGTTATTAAACTAACGAGAATATAGTAATTATGCTACCAAGATTGGAGACAAAGTATTGTGGGAAGCCATCAAAAATAGGCTAAAGTTCTTCAAATACTTTACTTTTTCAAGCTATGAAGCTGTTCGGTCAGTCATTACTTCCTTCTTTATCGAGTGAGATAGATCATGCTTAAATATATTTTATTGATATTTCAAAAACTTAATAGGCTAAAGGGGTTTTGGGGTTTTGGGGTTTTGGGGTTTTGGGG